CTTCGAGTATATTTACATAAATCAATAAAATGTTCGCTAAGGGGATTTTAAAGAATTTTCCTAATTTAAATTTATCAAGGGGTATTAATTAAACAGTCTACTGAAACGGTCTATAAATATAGTTAAAAATAACCTTCTCGAAATAAAGATTTCGTCATTGAAGGAAGGTGAGATATCTTGACAGAGTAAATCTCAACAAATGTCATTTCTAGCTTGGCCAACGTTAAATCTCGCTCTAGTTGGATGTTTCGAGTAGTTATCTCCTTGCAAAGTACCTCAGTTATTCACTTTATCTAGCCAATGTGTCATTTGGAGCAATTGAAATGTCTTTGCTAAGGATCGATTGCTAAATTTTGACCTCTTCAGATTTCATCGATGGAAATGTGGTAAATGGAAGGCGTTGTGTTACCAATGGTCACTGATGTGTTGAAAAATATCCTCTTCCTCTCAAAAATATACATCAAACTCCGACAGGGATTAAGGCTATGTGATTTCGTCCATGTCTATTTTTTTCTCCTCATCACATGTAAAAATTTCTCCGAGATCAGCTAATTTAAAGCATAAATTATAAAGCTTTGTTTGTTATATATAAATCGTAACCAAATCGAGCGATAGATGGCGTGGCAACGAGATAGTTACAATTAATTCTAAACACATTAAACAATATAGCGGATGAAATTGCTAATTAATACTATTAATTTCTATATAATTTCGTTGGAATTAATTAAATGTCAGAAAATTTTGTGTTAATAAGAAAAGTTCAATATAAATTTACAAAATAACTTAACATTATCTTGTTAACACCCGTGTAAATAAATTTAAAAAATTATTAAATATTCTTGAAAAGCTTTGATTGGTTTTGCTTTCCCCTGACGAAAATCTTAAGAAATTCTGAGATAATAAAATGCTTAATTGTGGAAAAATATGACAGCTTATTAAAAAAAAGCATTACGTACTGTACTACAAAATTTATATAATAATAAGCCATTTATATAAAGCAGTAAACATTAAAAAATAATTCGGACAAAATGCATTTAATTAACATTAACTATCAGTGGCGTAGCGTGGATGTCAGCCGCCCGGGGCGGAGGAAAATTTCGCCGCCCCCTTTTTTAAGTATCTCAATTTAAAAGAATAAAATTCAGTTTCATCACAGAATAAGTAATGAAAAATTTCGTGCTCATTTCAATCGGTCCGAATCGTAAGTGCGACAAAAAATATGAAATAAAATGGTTCAAATTTTTACAAGATATTATTTATTGTGAAATTTTGCCGTCCCCTAAAAGTGCCGCCCGGGGCGGGGCGCCCCTGCCGCCCCTACTACGCTACGCCACTGTTAACTATTACACGTTATTATTATTTTATAAATTATTTAAAAGGAAAACGTAAACATAACAAAAATTAAAACTTAATTTTAAAATTATTAAAATTGTATCGTCAGTATTAATTAATTAATTATAATTTTAATTAAAATTTCAAAAAATCAAAAGAATTTTTACAAGCAGAAAAAATAAATTTATAACAAAAGAAAAATTTTAATATTTATAAAAATTATATAAATTTTATTCGAAAATTTTCAATTTAATTCGAACGGAATAATAATGTAAATTTTTTTCTTGTTGCAATATAAAAATTTTCATTTATTTCGTTTTTTTTTCATTACTTCTAATTCTTTTTCTATAATGAAGAGGCAGAGAGAGAGAGAGTGAGAGAGAGAATGCTTTAAAAGCAGAAAATATATTTTATATAGGCCTATATATATATATATATATATCAGGAAATATATTATTAAAAATATAAAAGAAAAATATATATATGAGTGTAGTAACACATTTATGTAAAGGAATTCTAGAATTTCTTATATTTTGTTGTGCATTTTGGAATAGAGCCAAAAATTCCTTATGTTGGCAAACAGACAATTTCAACCTGTTGCTTTGTCTGTCTAAAAAAGAAGCAGACGTCTCGCCAGACAGCCAGAAAGTCGCCTTTCCCTCGTCCATCTAATAGCATTGACTGGCGCCGTTTTATATTATTAAACATTACCATCCTTGCTATCGTCTCATCATCACCATCCGACCTTTTTCCTCTCTTTAAACACTTTTATGCCAACTTAAAGGGAGCAAAATTACTCCAAAATTTACGTATTTCTTAGAATTATATATATAATAAATGTATTTATTTATTTCATAAATATTCACAAATTGAAGCAGTTTATAGTTAATACAAGCTTATAATTTATTAGACTATAAAACTAAATATGTAATTTTAAAATGAAAATTAATTTAAATGCTATTTTAATACATAGAATAAATAGAAAGATAAATTTATAGCGAAGAGCATAAAGTAACGTATAAATAGAAACTAATTGGATTAATTTCACGATCAAGATTTTTAATTTGCGATTTATGTGAAGAAATTGGAAATTTATGTGGATCGAAAGGATGCTTTTATAAATAGAAAACCTCCAGAGATCTTTGCTTTTTTATTGACCCGGACAAAGTTGGCTTTAAAATCGGTTTAACCTTTAAAAATTGAAGTAATATATATGAAAGTGAAATACTTTGTAGAAAATATGATGAGAAAATATATTTCGAGTAGAGATTGGACTATTGATTATAATAACATTCATGACAGAAACAATGCAAAGCATTGTTTGTAGAAAAATCAATATCGATGAAAAAATTGTAGCAAAAAGAATTTAAAAAAATCAAATTATACAGAACAATATATTTTAATTTAAAGCATAATTCTTAAATTTGCAATTTATATATTACGACAAAAGCCCGGGAATTTTGATGAGTCAGTCCATCTATCAAGAGGTAATCTATAATGAATATAGGGCTAGAAAATAAGTGAATCATACAGGAATAATTTATCTTCTTGTAAAATCTAACATTAATTAAAGCTTTAAAATCTTCGAGTATATTTACATAAATCAATAAAATGTTCGCTAAGGGGATTTTAAAGAATTTTCCTAATTTAAATTTATCAAGGGGTATTAATTAAACAGTCTACTGAAACGGTCTATAAATATAGTTAAAAATAACCTTCTCGAAATAAAGATTTCGTCATTGAAGGAAGGTGAGATATCTTGACAGAGTAAATCTCAACAAATGTCATTTCTAGCTTGGCCAACGTTAAATCTCGCTCTAGTTGGATGTTTCGAGTAGTTATCTCCTTGCAAAGTACCTCAGTTATTCACTTTATCTAGCCAATGTGTCATTTGGAGCAATTGAAATGTCTTTGCTAAGGATCGATTGCTAAATTTTGACCTCTTCAGATTTCATCGATGGAAATGTGGTAAATGGAAGGCGTTGTGTTACCAATGGTCACTGATGTGTTGAAAAATATCCTCTTCCTCTCAAAAATATACATCAAACTCCGACAGGGATTAAGGCTATGTGATTTCGTCCATGTCTATTTTTTTCTCCTCATCACATGTAAAAATTTCTCCGAGATCAGCTAATTTCACGTTCATCTCACTTAGAAACTGAAATCTTACATTAAGAACTGTTTAGTCTAAGATATATTATAAAACTTTTAGAAAATAATCTTTCGTTGTTAAATTTCAGCAAAGTTTCTGGTTTAAATAGTCTCTTACTTAGCGTGAAAATTTGTAATTTTGATAAATGCATTTTAATCTTGCGTATCTAAGGGATTAATATGTTAATAACAAACATCGTTTACGTAAATTTCGACCATGAAAAATTCTCACTTTGCTCTTTTGACTGGATGCCATTTCTCTTATTATAACCCCAAGTACCGTGTGAGTTTATCATCCTTTAGCAAGAATTCGCATTTACATCAAGATGTAATCGCTTAATTAAATCCTTAACAATTTCATCGGTTTTAAATGTGACATACAAAATCTTAATATAAGCTACATAATTAAGTCACTAACAATTCTTTACTGATTAATTTGCATATCCAGGAAGCGAATTAATACTAAATTACTTATCACGATTGAGCATTACTTAATAAAAAAAAAGGGTTTAAAAATAGATATTAGCTTTATTGTAATATCTTCGAGCATTTCCTTGCTTGTTATCAATGCTTAAAATAGTCATTTTTCTGCTACGCGAGCGATCTATATGTTGTTCAAGATAAAAAAAAAAAAGACGGCGAACAATTTGTCGCTAAAATTTGTTTGAATAATATAATCAATACTTGAAAGTATAAATTTTTAGTGTTAAAAAATTTTATTAAATACTTAAATCTGTAAGCGTAAATTATATTGTAAGTACTCATCATTATATTAATTAAATAAGCATTTTTAAAGAGGTTAACTAGCAAAGTTTTGGATGCTTTTTTCTAATTAATATTTTTTATGCTGCTAATAAGATTAAAGCACTACAATTAAATAATAGCCCATAATAAGAATTCAATTAAAAATAAATGATAATTAATCTTGCGGATAAATTATGACTTTGGCACCAAAGTCATAAATCTATTTATAACCGGATAAGTCGTGAATTGGAGTAAGACACTCGCAATCTCCCGCCATTTATTCAGTCCGCCATTTTGAAACTCGAATCGGATAAAAGTTGGATTTTTCTTAATAATCTACAGCCGTAGCATTAATATAGATGCTTTAAAACATTCATAGCAACGGAGATTTAATTAGGTATTGAAGATATTTTAATGGAATTCGCAAACAAGAAGCGTAGCATCGAGATGTAATTTTACTATCACAAAATGTAGGAAGCAGAAGTTAAGATACAGAAAAGGAGCAATGAACTAATAATGGCGTCGGATAACTTTAAATATTCGTTCATATTTAAGCATTTTATGTTATTTTTTAGCATAAAAATGGCCAGAAAATGTTTAGAAATAATAGGAATAAAATTAAGAATGCAAATTATCAGTTAAATAAGGCCACAAGTTAAATATAATTAAATATTTAAGATGGAGATAGCCAGATGCAGATAAATGTGACAAAACGTATAGTGGCTGTCAGAGATCAAAGACCCGACAGCCATGAGTGCATAAATTGTACTCACCTAGTGCTAGGTTTTAGCAAATGGCTCCAGCAGCCGGGTTCTAAGCGGGAACGGGAAAGGAAGTGAAGAAAAATGCAAAGGTCTTGGTGCATTTCTATTAAATCTCACAGCAAGTGAGACGGAGTCGAGCAGACCATATCACTTTGGGATGCGTGTCAAGGTGAGAACTACTTGTGTCACCAGTAACGGCTCTCATGATAGAGCCTCTCGGTCACATCTATGTATTTTAATTAGAAAACTGTCTGCCAATATAAAAGACGACACTAACCCCTGCAGAGCAGGCGGCTGGCGTCATGGCAGCCGAAAGACCAGCCCGGAGCTGTTGTTCAGGTTGTTATTCAGGACTCCGCGGAGTGAGCGACATTACGTCATTGTCCAGTTCTCAACACGCCGCTCCCTTTTTCAGTGCTTGATTGGATTCCGTACTCCACATACACACTCCTGCTGGCTACCATACAATTACCGCTATTAAGAGCCAACGGGATGAGTCAATGGATCGTAAAGTGGCTTTTTTTTAAGCTAGGTTTTCCCTATGACTCTCAGGTACGCCTTCACCTAGCATAGGTGTACCGTGAGGGAAAGAATCCTATCAATTTATTGGGAGTAGTACCGGGTGACGTAGTATACCCCCCATTGGAAATGAGAACGGACTGGACTGTGTAATCGATCGGTGGAGGGTTAGTGCCACTTTTAACGGTGTAAGGGAGAAGGTCAGTACTCATTCCCTAACACAGGCAGAGAAAATGAATGAAAATCTGATTTCTCGCGTAACGTTTTACCTGACTGCAACATTACCAATTTCGTTTGCAAGTTAACCCGTTTAAAACGCCATCGTTTCGCACAGCTTTGCCAGCATTTTTTAAACTTAAACCAATTTACCGATCACGTTTTATTTGATTGATCAGTCGGTTTTGTAATAGACTGAAAACATTAATCGATGCTAAATGATTATTAATCGATACCAAAAGCTCTTCCATGATAAATGTCCACATCTAATTTCATTTTTTCTTCTTTTCTATTATAGTCGCTTGTTTAAGTTTTCTCGGCTCGAACTGTGAATTAGCTATATAAATCATTGACATAGCTATGTTATGATGGTTTAACGCTTTAAATCCACGAAAATTAATCATCATCATCAATTATAAATAACCCGAAACCATTTCGAGTTTATAACCGAATAAAAATACCGAAAATAATAATTTTATAGCGCAACAAAAAAACAATAATTCTTAAAATTTAATGTAAATTAAATACGTTAAAATGAATAAATTTTAATAATTTATATAAAAGAATTCTAACCGGCTCTTAATTTGCTTAAAAGAAAAATTTGATTAAAAATCTGAATATAAGTTTTTAAATTAATTTATGCGAAAAATGCAAATTTTAAATTAAGATTTTGGTTTGTTTTTTTTAAAGTTTTGAGTGGATTATCTGATGATAAAGTATCAAATTTCTTAGAAATTTCAATTTTTTAAATAATAATAACGTCATTTAAATAAAATTAAAAGTTAATCTGTTGTTTTAATATACAGAAAAGATTATCCAGAGTTTGAATTTTGTTTCCGTAAGTTCTCTTTACGCAATCAGAATTTTAAAAAAGTCGAACGAGGCTGATAAAGATGTTTTTTATGTGACATTATCAAATAGGAAATTTGTACTAGATATAAAATTAGTTGTAAAGGATATATGGATGGATTTATTGACAACTATCTTACATAACGACAAAGAATGCCAATACCCATATACATCCAGCCATTGAGATCAATAAAGGCACTAGCCTTAGCTTCCCCATCGTTGTCTGTCACCCAATGTAGCTTCAAAGTGAATACAGATATGCCTCTAGACAGTTAAGACACTCGTATATCAACAAATGCTATTATAATATCATTCTATCGAAGCTATAAAAGGATACAAAAGAGGGAGATGCGATTTGGCGCTTTTCATCAATTATGATGATATACTTTATAAACATTTTTAAAATCGATTAGAAAGGGTGTAACTCATCTTTCAATAAATGAATGGGAAAGAAACCATTAAAAAAATTTGGTCACGCATATTCAGTAGTCAGTAACTACTAATACTACTATTACTACTATTTTACAGCAGTTTCATTCCCAGGAATATACTACTATCTATCTTAAAAATTGCCACACCCTGGCATAAAAAATTATTTATATATAAATTTCTCTCTATATTTTAAAAAATCTGTTAGAATTGAAAAATGTCGAAGGATAATTATTCGCTTTTTTAATATTGCTCTCAAACAGTTATTACACTAATAAAAAGTGACGGCTTTTTTCCACTTAAACCCACCATTACGTTGATGATAGGTGTAATTATTTTCAGGAATGGACGTCTTCACAGAATTAAAACCGACTTCACGCGTAAAAATCATAAGTTATAAATTCAAAACACTTATTTTTAATTAAAATCACGTCGATTGCAATTTTCAAAAATATTTCTGTGTAAATTTTGATAAAGCAGAGCTCAAAGTACTCACCTCGATTTGTTAAAACAATGTTATCTTCTATCACAGATTTTATAAGCCCACTCATTCGCCCACACTCATTAATATTTACATATGAGAGGAATGTTTATTTTTAATGTATAAATTATTTCTAACTCGTTCTACAAGTCTGAAATATAAAGAATAATTAAGATACAAACTGCACTAATTATGCGAAAAATGATTTTTGTAATAATCGAATTAACAAAAATTGGACACATTTTTAAGTAGCGCCTGTACATTACTCTTTTCCTATTTAAACAATGTATTAAGGTGAAGCTACCTTTTAGGTAACCCTATATAATTATTAAATCATTTAATTAAAACAGGAAGTTATTATTATAAAAAATGAACAACCAATAATTTTTAAGTTAATTTAATTTTATTTTCTTTTATAAATACAAACTATATTATTTTATAAACAGTTTTATTTACAGAACTACAAAATCAGAAATAAAAAGTTAGCATCTGTAATAAATTGTTTGATAGTTTGTTAGTTGCACCAATGACATAAGAAATATTAAATTATACGAACGTTTTAAATTAAGTTTTGAATTGTAATTTTTTACAGTCAAGTAAAAGAACAAAAATTAACAAACTGCAATTTATTAGATCCAAACACAAATTATATGTTAGCATATTTGAGAATTTATGAAACTTTTCATTATGAAAAAATTAATCATTATTACAAACGAGATTTATTTAATAAATAACAAACATTATATTATTTTTCATTTATAAGTGTGCAGATGCCAGGCCTTAACTTTTCTGCACTTCCAATAATCACCCTCAAATCTGTACTGTTGGACTGCTTAAAAATATTTTTCAAGATTGTTGGTGTAGTAGTCATATTTAATTCTCTAAAAATAAAAGTAAAATTATGTACTTAATGATATTTAGAATAATTATAAAATGTAAGAAAGTAAAATATGCAAACATAACTCTAAATAATATTGAATATTGATATATTCTCTTCACAAAATGCCTCACTTACTGCAGATAAAAAGTTTATTATGGAATAAAACATCTAAAATAATTCTTTCTAGTTTCAGAAGGTAGTTTAAAATTACACAATAAAACTACAATAAATATATTAATAAACTTTAACTGGTTAATATAACTTTTATTTTGTGATTAAACTAAAACAGATATTCAATTCCTTAATTTTTAAAATAAATATGAAAGATATAATTAATATTTTTCATGCATATCAGTAAAATTTAATAAATATGTTTGGTTCCAATTAAGAAAAGAAATCGAATGAATTTTCAATATTACTTTTTATAAAAAACTATTATATTCAATATTCCACAAATACATTTAAATACTTATATAATTTGATATCATATATCAATATCTTCATTGATACTTTTATTATACATCTTCATGCCAGAATGATGTTACATAAGCTATTATTTTTATCCCTAAACTCAATCTTGAAATCAACATTTTAAAATAATCTTTCATCTCTATAGGAACTGAAATGATTTTTCAGAATTTTCTATGCATTAATAATATATTGCAGAATATTTTATATTGAAATCATTGATATATTTTAAATAATGTTTATTCTTAATTATTAAATTTATTATACAGTATATAAACCTGCCAAACCAGAAAAAATATTCTATACTGTGCAATTCTAGTTTACACAGGTTTTACTATATATATAAATGTATTATTTAAGATTGCATAACACATTTATATTTTTATAAAATATTTCCAAGAAATGTTTTTTAAGTTTAGTTTTATCAAAGATTTTTAAAGTCAAGTAAAAACTAACTATTATAAATAAATAACAACTGAATCTTGAAGTTTATTATTATTTTGCTGATTCTTTTCCAATACATTTTTTTTTAAATGAAACTCTTTAATAACATTTTTTTTAATGCGTACTAAAATATTTATGTATAGATTTTCAAAGATGCATTAATGTTTCACATATTTATTAAATTTTTTATAATGGTTTTCAACTTAATGTAAAACAAATATTTTCAAATGAAAAAACAGTAAAGAATTTCTTGAAAGTTATTCTAAAATATAATGCATTAACTTCTTACTGAACTGAACATAAAATCTATAAAATGTATGTGAAATTATTATAGTTTATATTTTTGTACAGTTTTTACTTTCCTGGCTGTTATATATAACAGAGGAAAAGTATGGCAATCAGTCAAAAAATGACCCTCAAGAATTTTACATTTTTAGACTTGAGACCTTGAAACATTGAAAAATGCAAAAAAAAAAAAATTTGGGGGTTTTTTCAGTATGTATGGATGTTAGTGTGTGTGTGTGTGTGGGGGGGCACAATTTTCTTCACCTTCTTTGAAGCTTAACTATTGTGCTTTTCGTCGAAAGTTTCTGAAATTTTGCAGGGAGGTTTGTGTATTGGGGGATTGATCCTATAAATTTTGGTGTTTAAAAATCGAGGGGGTGGGCAAATAAATGGGTGTCATAGTACAAGGGTACCCATCTTATAAGTTGTATGCTGCCTTTGCAAATTGTATGCCCGTTCTTGATTTTGTTATGCCTTTTTAATGTTTTGGCATGCATGATCCATAATGGTCTGGAAGAGCGGGGTTGCTCAGACCTTGGCTATAGAAAATTCCTCCCAATTAATATTCAAGAGGTGCGGTACAGTGTGACATCACCCCAGGAAGAATAAAAGTCTGAGGCAGCAGGCCTTGAGGGGGTGGAGATGACACTGTCGTTCCTTGCTAGCTGCAAGCGGGTTGCAAACATATTAGATGCCTGATGTTCCTGACGATGACAAGTATAAACAAATTGGAGTGTAGGGTCTTCTTAGTAAATCGAGCAATTAGTCAGTTTGGCTACACAAGGGGTGGAACAGTTGAAGCATCACCATTTACACCTTAGAGGCTACTTTTGTACAGTGTTTATTTTTGGTTCTACCAAGCATAAGCAGTTGAGGATTAATAATGTGAGAACAGGGTCTGTCAATCCCCACTCTGATGATACCAGAATGTGAACTAGGGGATTGTTCTGGTTTAACCTCTCACTATCAGGATGGTATAAAATAAGATTAAGGATGGTAAGTCAGGGTCCTGACACCACTTAGTCTAAACTTGCAGACTAAGACGTGTGAAAATCAATTCGTTTTCAGAGTGGCTTAGAACAACTTATCTATGACCAGAGCCTACAAAGACTACATTTAAATGATATGTGGGTGACGATGGAGTTAGGCACTATCTTAATCAAACAGACAATTTAGGATATAACTATATGTTTATTAAACTAAGATCTAAAACAAATACATAAAAATGGCTACTAAGAAAAATGTACATAAAAGATAAATAAAAGAATTGATTATACAACAATATCAACTTCTAAATCTTGAATTCAACCTCGAGAGAGAGTTTACAATGTATAAATATATATTACCTGATGTCTACACAATTTGTCATAGAGAGTCAATTGGTTTCTAGAGTCACATACTTGAAGTTTGAGAGATTGATCATTAGTCTGCTGGGTACTTGGTGACTATCCCAAAAAAGAAATAAATGGCTAGAGCCTTGATGATACTTAAGACTAACACTAGAGGCAAGGCTAAAAGCACATCTAAAGTTATATTAATGAAATAAAAACTGTGACATGATAGTAACCTTCAGGCACATGAAAGTATGATTTGGACAATGCATTTTCCTGCCCTTAATTCTGAGAATAACTATGACAATTGCAAGCTTTCCACATAAGCTTTTCACTTCCTCAAATATTTGGTGAAACTGCATCATTACATAGAGTTTATAGTTCCTTCTGTGCAGCAGTCACCATATTTAAAGATGAGTTAAGGTTAGTGTTTATTTTTTTATAAGCAGAAGACCAGCGCTGAACATTTGATTTGAGATAAGCAATGATAGCAAAAACTCCAGTTGTAAAATTGCATTCTTTAGCAGTATTATACCTCATGAGTGTCTGCATATCTCCAGTTTGCAATTATATATATACAGACTCAATACTGGAATCAAAAGTTCAAAGAAACCACTCACAGAATGGTATCTTTCAATTCAGCATGTTGTACAGTTTCTTTTCAAAGTTTCAAAGCATTTACAATAAATTCAGAGTTATTTATTTCTTTACACAAGGTATTTTTTTTGTTTTGAGGGCCTAAAGAAATCATATGTTTTACCAATAGCACCAATGTAGTTTCAAATATCTACAAGTTCAGAAGCCTTGGACACAATAAGTTTCAATGAAAGAGTAACCCAGTGAATGTAAATTGCAAATAGATGAACCCAAGAAACATATGCTTGTATCCCATTGAAGACATCACAACAATGAGACTGCTCAAAATTAAGTCAGATAGTCCTGCCCTGGTTAAATCTGAAGTAGGGACAAAATTCAGAAAATCTTTGCAAAGTGCATTTGTATCAGTATTAACATATCTGGGATATATGGAAACTTGCTCAATGCCAGATATACTCAAAGTTTCATGCACCAGAACAGCAAAAGATTTGCCCTTCTTAACAATGTCAACAACTTGTCTCAGCAGAATACCATTGCAAATTCTAATATGGAATTTTTGATTTTTGGATTGAGATAGAGTACTGATAATCTGGTCCTTCTAAAGTAGCCTGCAGATCAACATTACTTTTTGTTCTACAATAAAGCATTGTATGAAAGTTTCCTTTGTTCTTTTGTGGTTTCCCAGATATAGCTATATTACCAGAATCATGATGACCACAAAGTACCAATTCAGTTGACCACATTATAATATTGCTTCAAGTATAGGAACAAGTTTTCTTCTGTTTTCCAATATTTGTTGCTGTCTCTCCTGGTATATTTGTGCTTGATTCTGTTTTCTATTGACAGTTCAGGTATGTCCATGTTTGTCTAGAATGCTCAACATCAGCAACACAATTCATATAGTATTTTTGAGAAGCACGACAAGTAAATGTTTCTATTGCTTTCTTCCAGTTTGTGAAACCTTCATCATTATAATACAAAGTTCTTGTGAAGTGACACAAGCTCCACTTCTAGCAAATAATACACAATATTTGCATACGCAATAAGCACCATTTCTTTTGCCAAATATATTAATCGAAGAAAACACTTCAACCAATTATGCTAAATATGAAGTATGCAGGTTTTTTCTCTTCAATACTTTGTGCAGATTATATATACTCTGATAAAGGAAAGATAAAACCTACAGACAATATAAAATCTCACCTAAATGCAAAATTTCCAGCAACAAAACACCCAAATTCAGTATTCAAATGTTATTGGCCATTCTTTTATCGGCCTTCTTCAGGAAATGTAAAATGAAAATAACTGTTCTATTTGCATGTTTCATTGCTGGATATTTTGCATTTAGGTGAGATTCTATATACAGTTGACTCCCTATAACATAGGTTCATATAATGCGGATTCGTATGTTGTGGCAAAAAAATTGCAACCGTATTCATATAAATACGCTAAAAGAGACTTGTAAAATGCGGTAAAACGTCATCGCCAACTCGTGTTGCGACAGGATTGGTTGAATCTGGACCAATAGTGGACAAGCAGCCGAACTACTTACATGCTACGAAGAGTTTAGGCAGATAAGTTGAGTTTACTATCGTCTGTATAGTATATAAATTAGGTACTGTAAATCTAATATAATACTGTAATTTTATACCTTTCTTGTGAAAAAAGCATTTCTTATTCAACGGACATAAAAATTATTTCTATTAATGATGTCTCCAAAGTTCAGCGAATTTTTCGCAAAAAAATAACTTATCAGAAAATGTGCCCGCTGTTTGGTGTGCTGCTCCACGATGAAAACAAGTTTAAGCAATGGCGTCGTCGAATGGTGCACACTCGGTAAGTAATCCTACAATTTTTTGTTTATAGCATAGTTTAT